AAGCTATTCAATTTTTCAATATTACGGTACCTGCAGAAGTAATGGGATTTTCTGATTTCTAGGATAAAGTGACTCATAAAAAAATAAGATATTTTTTTCTGAATAATTTATTTGTATATCGAAACGATTTCTGGATGATCGAGAAAGTTTTGCGCACGAATTCGATTCCCATAGCGATACAATCGGACTAATGCAATTGAACTTTTCCGGAAGTTCGGATAAATCCAAGATTCGGTAAAATCGTACCGACCCGAAGATTTTCTATGAATTTTTAATCGTGCACGTTTGTTGTGCCGCCTACCAAAATCCGGGATTTTCCACGTTACGTTTCGAACGTGGAATAAGATGCGAATCTACAGAATACCGTTAAAGTACCACGAGAACGTGACACGAAATACTCATTGCAAAGGAGTCAACCAAACAGTATATGTGTTATGTAATCGCAACATCTGTCACGGTTAGCAATCCCGTTTGTTTTCGTTTCCGACAATTTGGAGCAAATGCAATCTATGCTCTATAGCGTGTATAGCAAATCTAAAAGGCAAATGGAAAAATATATATCCTGATGTATTTTATGATCACACTCGCAACAAGCTCATCTTTATCTCTTTCTACTGCAGATTTAATGATAATGCAGGTCTAGACTGAGAAAAAAACGTTGTTAACTTGATTAAATTAGTTTAGTTCGTTTTTACTTTTTTCATTCGTAAGAATGTATGTATTTAAGTTAAACAAAGACGAGCTAAACTAACTTAATCAAGTTAATAACTTTTTCTCTCAGTGTTTATTCTTGCTACATATATCGCGACAGAGTTATTCGTTATAATACGAATATCATTACGCAGATCTTAAGCCTTTAAGACTTTATTTATGTCTTGAGACGTATGTTTGTATTGGGTTAGACGCGATGAGGACGCGATAAATCTCTCTTTGTCCCAAAAGGATAAGGGTCGGTACACCCGTCATGCCATTTCTACTGAATATTTGAGCAATTTCTACGTCCGCGGTTGGTTTACACTTGTACCACATCTCCTAAAGTCATTCACATGCGTCGAAAAACGCCCCTGGGATCGTCTGCAACTCTCTCTCCCTCTCCCCCTCTCCCTCTCACTCTTTCTCTCTTTCCTCTCTTTTTCCTCTTCCCCTCTATTTATTTACCTATTTATCTATCGATCTTTCTTTCTTCCTCTTTTTTTCTCTATTTTCTATTTCTGATCATTGCGCATTGAAGGACGAATGATATCCGACAGTACAGTTGGATAAATGCGCAATGGGAAAGACCGATCTTACTCTACACATAAAATATGAATGAACCGGCAAGTGCATTTCTTGCAGGAAGAACTTGAGAAAATTCCTTCGTCGTCGTTCGCAACGAGTGACGCGTATTTTATTTCCGTAGACACGCCGTAGACATGCCGGCATAGATGGAATTAAGCGAAAAATGTACAAGTAGAGTAACAGTTAGTGGTATTCTGCTTTATAGAAATATAAAAGAATGTACTTATTGAAAAACAAAGCACAAAAATAAAATTATAATATATACGAGATTATATATGATTATATTATATATGAAAAGTTTTTGAAGTTAATCAGAAATGAGAGAAAAGCAAACACAGACGTTATGATTTGATTAAACATCCTTCCTAACATTGTCCTATCGATAATGGAACAAGAGCTTAGGTAGTTCCTCGCCGATAAAGTTCTTAGAGCTCTGTTTGAGCGTGCAACTAACAGCTCGAAGCATCACCGTGGTGCAAATTCAATTCCTCCTTGATCGGCAAGGACTTAACCATACCACTGTCGCAAACACAATCAAAATTTCTGTTACGGTACATCTACGATGATTAAGGCTACGTAGAAATCGATTAATTGGAAATCAGCGCGAAAGGAGCGAATTATAAATAGAGCAAATTAAATGGTTATTAAATCAATTAAGAATATAAAAAATATAAAAACGATTCGAGAAACTTATAGCGCTTCCTCCGATTGTTCTAGTCAAGTCTATAATGCCAATTTACCGGTAAATTTAGTTCGCTTTTCGATAATCGAAATAAATTTAATGAGCCACTCAGAGACAACATTAATGGCACAAATGGAACTGGATCAATTACTGCAATTTCCTAACTTGGAAATGGCTGAGGAAAGTTTATTGTTACTGTTTCCTAAGCTCATCCGAATCGATGAAGACTGTCGAGTGTCATCCCTTTTGCTCAGACTATTCCCTAGCGTGAAGTTTCCCAACGACCCTTCTACGTGACACTTTCGCAAGAAACTTAAAGTTTGACAAGCGGAAGATATATTCTCGAAAGATGAAAGGCGGCATTGTTCTTAAGTGATTGCCTAGAAACGGCATCGTTTACAAATAGACCGGTATTCAAAGTTAACCTCAAAGTAACACGCCGTATTATATCCCTACAATTAGTCGTCAAAATCATCACTGTTTTAATCTCTATTCGATTCTGTCGAGCGCTTTGTCGTTGAGATAAATGTATTTTCTCTGGTGTATCTCTTGTAAAGTGTTTTAATAAACCCGAGTTATTCAAAATATATCTCTTTCAAAATATTGCTAGCCTTTATGAAGAGGAGGATCTATCTAATGCTCTTAAAGTTCTCGGCGATGAAATTTACATATTAAAAGTTAAGTAGCTACTTTAACAGTAATGGACAGAGCTGGCGTATCAGGGAGTTGAAGTGAATTTGGAAACGACCACTAATCTGTTGGACTAACCGTCCTTCGTCATGTAAGCGAACAATGGTGCAGTAGAACTTTGAAACATGCTCCATCCATTTTAGTAGTTTTCAGAGGATCAGCTCGATCGGTAGTTGCTCAAAATCTAGTTTCGCGAAATTTAGTGTTTATTTTACAAACACTTTTAAAGTGCTGCGAAACATTGAAGACACATTAAATAATTACTTGCTACACTGGAAAAAGGGTCTAGTTAAATTAATTGGAATTCTGGTTAAAAATGAGCGAATTTTTCGAATTTGTTATAATTCTATAATAGTTAATGAAATCAGAATTTTGACCGATATAAGAATCTTCTAGTTCATTCAATTTCAATGAAAAATTTTTCCTAATGTAATTATATAAAATTGATTGTAATTAAAAATATACAGAAAGAGTAGTTTCGCTAAAGTATTAAAAAATTTAATTGGATACTAAAAATAATTTTGTTGGACTTTTAAAATAATTACATAAGACGTTCGAAGTGGTTGTTAGAATTTTTTACAGCATTGCTCACCATGTTTGAGTTTTCTACATAATTATTTTAATGGTCTAACACAATTATTTTCTGATCTATATCTATTTAAATTTTTAGATACTTCATCAAAATCGTTCCGTCTATTAATTAACGTTAAATTAATTAACGTTTTCATTTAATTTTTTTCCATTGATGAACAGCATTTACAGAGTGTAAAATACGACACTAATATGTATCGCATTAATACTATTTTTATTGGTCTTACGACTAAAATGTGTGGTGCAACGAACAAATAGTATATATCATAAGGTTTGATATGTACTATTATTGCGTTATAGCGTCAGCTTTTCCTGTGCATACGCACAGACCGCGGCGAAATCACCGCAGCAATAAATCCGATATCACCGCGTTCCCGATGGATCTCCGATTGAACCAAAAACATTTCGGTTCCACTTTGGTGAAACCATTTTTCGTTTAAATTCTCATTGAAATCCGTATATTTATGGACGACACGTCGATACAAACGGGAGAGGGGCGCACTGAGCACACCAGATTTACGATTAAACTCTCAGTTGAATATGGCTGACGCGGTCAAAATCGGTCATTCTATCGCAACGAGTCGAGAGCGGACAGAAAGTGTGTTTTAATTCTGTTTGACACCATAATCGAACTTTAAAGCTGTTAATCCGGTAAGTTTCGAGAGATTTGTTTCGAAAAGAAATGCAATCAAATTGTATTATATTTCAATATGCGAATATCTACGTTATTCTTTTTCCAATTCCATTTTACGCGTGGCTGCGTCATAAATAATAGCAAACAGGATTGATAACATTGGTTGTAACTTTTTTTGTATATCGTATATATGATGCAGAGAGATGCATGTTATTTTTGTGAAAATAATTTTATAAAGCGTGATAGATTTATAGAGGGATATTACATGTTTCATGAAATCGTGTCTGATGCCATAATCGGAATGCGCGTTTGCGGTCTCACAAAATCTCATAAACTTCACAGAGAATTCAGAAGGAATGAAATATCACGAATATATATATGACAGTACATTATCGTTTACGTAATACATTCTTATTCAATATTAATTTTTATATCGTTCTTTTACTTCAAAAGTAGTACAATTAAAAAAACGTAATTTTAAAATTATTCCTATGAATGAGTTAATTAAACATCATCTTATCAGACCTGGTTTTTTTTTTAGTTAACTTAAATGATAATTTTAACCTCATTTAATCTGATAATAATGTAAAAATTGTATTTCTCTAGCTATGATTTATCACTGAGCTGATAGTTTTGTAATGTGATAATTTTAAAAGTTACTTACTGCAAAATTATTAACTTAGTGATGGACCTTGGTTAAAAAAATTCAATTTTTCCATTATCATGCTAAGTTTAATCACAACGAAAAATCTCATACCTTAGTAACTAAAAAAGAACTAACTACTCCATAAAACTAACTTTATAAAAATCGTCTTAATTGGAAAAGGGTTTAAAAAGAAAATCATTACAATTCAAAAAAGATAATTTTTTAAAAATTGTGAAATTAAAAAGGACAAAAATAACATTTGAATATGTTAAGAATATATTCTTTTTGATATTATTTGATTAATTAATAATTTTTTATCAAGTTGAAAAATAGTTTTTCCATCATTTCGGGAAACTTAATTTTTTTAATTGTATTTTTAAAGTAAAGGAGCGAATCTCTTTGTAAGTATGAGAGAATTCGAACCGCAATGTATATTGAAGTAACGTATAAGTTTGTAAAATATTTTATATCGTACTCACCTTGCCGAAATTCGAGAGACCACCGATTTGAGGCACTTGACCGGGTTCATCCGCCGTGCTGCAGTCTGCCCTAACGAACCAACAGGTCAGTAACTCAGTAGCTACAATTGTGAATGTTATGGCGATAGAATTCTCTCTAATCACAGGTCTCCACACGCACCCGTAACGATAACGACAATAGTATTATTCGCAGGACAGCAGCTCGCGGCGAGCCACAATAGCTAGTTCGTAATCATACCACAACTAACTTGTTTCTATTCCGAATGATCTCGGGAATATTCTAGTACATAACTTCATTAAATGTACATTACACAATAGCGTTCATTAGATACGATAAATGCCTTTGAAGTGAACTTAAGTCTTATTATTACTGTCTATTTTTAAATATTACTATTTTGATTTTTTTACGTTTTTTAAACAGAATAAGCCCAAGAGAACGCTGAATAATTTATATACTTGAAAAAAATTAATAAATTTTCATACATATTTTTAAAAAATAATATTAACATTTATTTATAGTAAGTAAATATTTACTTAATAAAAAAATGATAATTTAATCAAATTAATAGTTCTTATGCCAAATAAATATATGTTTACATTTCGTAAATATTTAATTAGAACTATTCAAACAAATATTTATTAAATAATTAATATTTTTAAAAATATTAATTAATTTTGTTTAGTGTAATTTTATAATAACTTAATCTTTTTTTTTAATAAAAAATCGATATATATATTATTTGCAATGCTTCTTTTAATCCTCAATTTTTATAGTTTTATCTCGGAATAGTTACGAACATTTCTCTATGATTCATTGATAAGAGATTAACAATGTATTTTTGTGCAGTATGATGTATTGGTAATTGGATTCTGTGATGTAACGCGCAAGTAAGTTACGTCCCGTTGAATTGGATGGTTTTTATGCGAAAGACAACGACCAGTTTCTATCTGTCAACGCTGAGAGAAATAGATTTTCCTAATATTCTCCCTAGAAGTCATTTTCTTCAGTACACCTTACACATGTCTTTTCGTCACATATCACATTATGCCATCCTAATTCTCCCGAGGCACGCGGCTAATCGCGATAACAACTGTCGGCGGAGTGTACAGACGAAGGAGAGTTAAATATCTTATGCAGATAGGGATTATGCGAGACGTACGACGTGCTTTAGGCGTCAGCTCGAGAACTCGAGGTAATACCACGCTGACAATCGTGCGCATTAGCGCCGTATCCCCTAAAGCAGTCACGAATGGAGCAATGATGCGGTGGCAATAATGGTAGCGATAATCGATAATCGAGCCCATAATCGGCCGTCGCGTTGCACTATCCTTCGACTCGATTTGGGAATCGCTGCTACAAGTTTTAGCCACACCGCCGGATTTAATTGCAAACGATGAGGACGACGGCGAACACGCGCCATTAAACGTCGCGGCTTTTCCTCTCGTTCAGTACGAGTGGCCAATTCGAAGCTGCACACGGCGCCGTCGTCGAACGTTCCGCCGTATCGAACTTAATCACGTGGGACTCAACGATCGGGCACCTGTCGCACTACGTAAACGCGATTTCGCGGATTTATGGTCGCTCGCCTGGAGAGGCGCGACAGCAGCAACCAGCTGCATTTTTGTTTGACCGTGCGTCGTAATCGCCCTATCTATCGTGAAATGCCGGTTGTTCGACGGACGCGTATAATATTGCTACAATATACATTAATCCGGACGGGATTTATCATGTTACACGCGAGATTTAATTGCTAAGCAACGGATGAGCAAAGCAGGGATGCATGAAATATAACGGCCGTCGCGGAAATAAATCGCTCTCGGTAACGCTTCTATTGTTGACGATTTTTATTGACGTGGCTTTGCGCGTATTTTCGCGTGGCATTTTTCTTAGGCCAGGTTAAAGGAATCCTAGAGTAGTTTGTTTTACCGGTTCATGTCCAATACAGTTTAATTCTACCGATTTCTACCAATGTAATTTAATTTTAATTTTGTGTGTGTGTGTGTGTGTGTGTGTGTGTGTTTCAACTAAGCGCTTTCTTTTTTTAATTTTAAAAATTAAAAAAAGAAGAACAAGTTAAACCGAGATTAACACCTTTAGACTCTGCGTAATGTACATCAAATTTAAAGACATTATATCCGTTGAAATTATTTAATTTTACATATATTATCTGATGTATATAATAATGTACATGTTGGAGAAATAGTCAAAATTAAAAAAAAAATTAGCTGTTTAGTATGAATTATTCATCAAAGTGCGAATAAAAAATTTTGTTAAATATAATTTCAATAAAATCAAGTCTGAAGAGGTTAAAGTTAATCTATTGATAGAAAAGGACATCAATAGAATTTATACGATTTACGTGTCGTTGAAACATTACTATACTACTACATCAATATCGCACGTACAAATTTTATAACTAATTAATTTTTCATATTAGGTATCTGAGCTTAATTCTAAAAACTAAAACGAAACTTTTATATAAAGCAAGTATTGTTACAAAACGATGCCAAAAGCCGAAACAAATTATAATTTTCCGATTTTTTGTTTTTGACATAAAGTCGACTGATTTGAATTACATTATCGTTTAAATTTTAATTATGGAAAAGATTTTTAAATCTGTAAAGGTAGTTAGGAAAATATTTATTTAAAAAATAATCGGTAAAAAAAACAAACGACTTTAGAATCCCATTAAATATGCTTGTAGAATGGAGCTGGACAAGTTGATCGCCGTTTTGCGTGTCCCTCATTATACGTCGCGTAATAACGAAGTATTATTCGACGAAATGGCCTGAAATTCTCTTTTATTCTTGGTTACACGAAAATGCTGAGAATGTTGTAAAACACGGCATTTTAAGTAAATGTACCTTGTTTAAATTACTCTTCGTGAATTACCCTTAATTTGGATAATTTTAAACAAAACGTAAAATGAACATGTTGCCTAATTGAATAAAATGCGGAAATTGGTGAGTTTAATCTGGACATAATCTTTAAATAACAATATTGGATTGCAAGGGAATTGACACAAAAATTTCAAAATTCATAAATTCGTGTTGTGTTGGTTTTGATAAAAACCTCTATTGAAAAAATTTTATGTGGCAAAAAGAGTGTTTGGAAGATAAATATAAATCCATTCCAGCCATAAACGTGGTAACGCATCAAAATTTATCTATAATAGAGCAGCGATTCTTCATCGCGACGTCGTAAAACAGAGCGCAGTGCCATAAAATCGGAAGCCGAAACCGGGAGGGACAAATCGATCAGAGCTCATCTCGCTCGTAGAAGAACGACGTGTCGGAATGCGCGATACTTTCGCGATACATCAGTTCGAAAAGCTTTCTGTCGCGTTCAGCGACAGCAAGATTCTGTCTTGCAGCCGTCGAAAAGACGTCTCGTAAAAGTTCACCGTCGCTTCGGCCATTGTTTGTGCAATATTTCGAAGCTCCATCTGCTGCGGCACCAGCTGGGCCGTACAACCTGCGATCTTCACGTAATCTCGCGTTCTCGTTCGATAATTTCACTATCCCGAAACAGCTTGACGTGCGGTAAAAAAGGATTGCTCTGAGTAACTCCATCAAAGGTTAGAGTAACGTCGTATAATTAAATTTTAAGGAAGAATTTTGTTCGTAAAAAATATTGAAACTTTGTCCCTTTTTACTATACACTCCAGATCAACAGTTTAGAAACACTTTTTAAAAATTGACATTTTTGACATTACTCAATCAAATATTCATACACTGAGAAATTTTTCGTACTTGTGACTGTAATTACATGTTACCATAATTGTGGTTGTTACTTAGGACTGTTACTTTTGACAACTTTGAAGATTGGAAGCTTCGAAAGAATTTGAGTCTTCAAAGTTAACTTGGAAACTGTCGAAGTTTAAGGTGCCTTCAAAACTTCGTAGCTTTGAAGATTTGAAGCTTCGAAAAATATATTTGTGCAAATAGAAAAAAATGGAAATATATTTGTATATTCACAAATATATATTTTTTATGAAAATATATTCATTAATTATATTACATTAATAATTTTATAATTTTGATTTTTTGATACTTCAATGTTCGAAGAATTTTGATGCCGAAACTTCGAATCATTGAAGCCTCGAAGTTCAAATGTCAAAGTTTTCAAAACAAATTCAGTCCTAGCTATTATGCTATAAAGTTAGTAATATTAACTATATGTAAATTGTATAAAAAAAATATATATACACATATATATTTAGCACCGAAAATGACTATAAATTATAGTTATTATTATTATAAAAATGGTTCCAGTTATTGTAATTTACTTGTGCTTTTATAATTTTTTTTGGGTTAATCACATTTATGTGTGTGTAATGATATGTCTTGTTAACAATAATTCTTCAAATCCAATAACAGTTTTTGAACGTAAAGAATTATTATTTAAATTCATTCTATTATATGGATATTTAAATAATTAATTCGAAGAATGTATCAATTTTTGAAGTGTTTCCAAACTTTTGGTTCGAAGAATATGTATCATTTGTTTCTATTATATATAGGTACCTACATATTTGAGTGCTAGATAAGTTTCTTTGGCTATTAATATAAAAATAAATAAAATGTAGTAATGGTAATTGAATATTTCTGATGAATTAGTATTGCTGCAGGTTTTTCATGTTTTCTGAGAAATAAGGGGTGCATATATAGACCGCTTATTGAGTACTCTCTGAGCAAAAATTGGCAAAAAAGAGATTAATATGTTTATTTAATTATTATAATATTTGTAATATCAAATAACTTATCTATTTTATATTATGAATATTATAATAAATAAACATATATTAATCTCTTTTTTGCTCAATGATATATAGTACTGAATGCACCCAAGGATTTTGAAATTTTTTTTAATTGTAAAATGACCGATTTAAGTGCAATATTGTCTATTCACTTAGTTGACTTTACGGAAATTAAAATTTTACGAAATGTTTTGTAGTATAAAAATATAAAAAATATAATCCACAAAGTAGGACGACCTTTATAACCGATTCTTCGACGCTGCAATTATCGTTTTTTTCAATGCGGCCGTGGCTTTGAAAGGCCATACCAGGTAATACCGTAAAACTATGATGTCCGTGAATTTTGCGGATTACTGCACAAACGCACCGTGGTAACGTTATGCCGTTGATCTCTTACGGTCCGCGCGCGAACTATTATAGGAACTTTAATCCGTTTACGTTAAACGTTTTACTGCTCGCGTTCAAAGCGATAGCTTTTAATGCACGAGAAATGAACGAAACTGTACGGCTTGGAATTACTACCGTCGACCGGGCGTTTCGCTCTAGGCAATGCAGATGAAAAGTCCTATCAGCAAAGGCACCGGCGATTGCATCTGCCGCGACGATCTGTACGTTATTACACGGGTTGTGGTCCATTTTCAGCAGCCGGACGGTAAAATTCTATACTATAATCATTATTCACGCATCAATGCAAATCAGGTAATGTATTTTTATTTCAGTTTCTGACCTGGGCGGGGCGTTGTAAATTATTTACATTTTCACTATTGACTCTTTTTCGCTCGTCGATTACATGGCTAAGTTTAGATCTCGCAATCTCTAGTAAGCGTAACGAATTATTACAAAGCTATTCCCGATTTGAAAAATGAAACTTATTCAAACTTCGGTTTTGGCATTTGAAAGTCATTATGTGAGTAAGCAATCTTTCGTCTTAACCTTTCAGAGTTTGCGACAGGTTTATTGGAGCCACTCAATTATAAATTTCTTTCAGTCAAAAGTGTCAAACAATAAAATTTTTTTTAGATTACATCTGCAATTTGAATTGTTTTTATTAAAATATATTTATTATTCATTCTTTTTTATATAAGTTATATTATTTTAGTTTCTTGAAATTAATTAATAAATATTTTTTTAACATAAATTAAATAAGTCAAGACTCAGCATTAACTTGTTCCCTTACTTCAAAAGAAACACAAATTAAAAATGTGAGATATTACCATGAACGAGTTAGGATTATTTTATCATAAAAAGTTAACTAATTTAACTTCACAGATTGTCTGCCAAATAGTATTTATTCTTAAAATTTTTAAAGAGCTTATAATTCTTTTTACAAAACGACACATTTTTAAAGTTATAACGTTTTTGTATTGTAGATAAAAAGGAGAGCCTTTTACATAGAACGTTTATAGAATTAAGGTAGTTTTGGCAATCAAAGTTTGGAGAAGAAATTGTTTTTTTTTAATTTAATCATTTTAGCTGATCAAGCTAAATACTGACTGTTTTGATATTGTAATTTATGTTATTTTTGCAAACTTGTTATAATTTTGTAGAATATCAAAATCGTAACTTAAATGGGGTAATTTTTTTAAGGATTGTGAAACGAAAATGTACCAAAATGACATTTAACATTTCTAAAAGTCTATTCTTTTTGTTAATATTATTTGGTTAGTCAACAATTTTGTTGACTAACCAAATTGAAAAATAATTTTTCCCCTTTTCTGAAAAACTAATTTTTCACTTTTAATGTAAGGGAACGAACTACGTAAATATTAGATAGATTTTGATGTCAGCTCTGAAAGATTAATCCGATTGCATTTACCGCATACGCTTTTAACGCTTTGATTTAAGCGAAATGAGTTTGAACCTGATTTAGAGCTTGAGTTGTGTACGTATAACGATAAGAAGTAAGAACCTCTAAAGTCTAAGGAAATTGCAGCTTGCGTGATACAAGTGTAATGGGTTAACGTAACGCGTTATACTCGCTTCTCGTATTGTGCACCGCTTTAGAGCTTGAGCGTCGACATTCTTATTTCTGCGCTGGCACACTCACCAAGGCGTATTACACGTGTGCGTGAGGGTGAGATACCTGGCGCCCAACTCGTACAGCATCCTCAGGACCGCCAGACTCGCTCCGACAGCATGGCCCCCTTCGACTCCTATCAGGCTTGCTAATCTAGCCTCTTTGTGCGCCCTCTCAATACCTGTAACCATATATACATTATAACTTATTTCATGTATTCTTTCCTTCCTATCATCGTTATTCACAGTGAATCTGGAGTCTCATCGCATTGTGGACCCTTGTTCAGATGGGACGTTGGATCATGAGTTTTGTATCATGAGAGCCCGATAACTTGGGGATGAATGTGTCGGATGTGTGTTTCAGACTGATAAACCCCGCATGTAATGCACTTTTAACCCTGGTTGCTGTTTAACATTACGAAGAAGAGATATAAACGCGAAGCTCTCTACATTTCGGTCTCGTTCAGATTTACGCGTTGTCCATTAACTTTTCTCTCGACAGAATAATCTTGCTCTCACGAGCTTTCGCACGTAATGCGAGTGACACGTGAATCTAATAACGGCTGGAACGTTGTTACGAAGTTTCGACCGTACCTCCGATAAGTAATACCGATGGTAAGTGGATCTACGAAGTTTGCAAATTCTCTTTGCACGACATTGGAAAACAACGACAAAGTCGCACCGGAAACAGCACTTCCGACGGACATATGTACTTATATACCGGAATTGCGTCTGAAACGAAAGTTTCATCAGAGAAAAATGCTTCAGTTATGAATGCAATATCTTTTTCACGATCCCCTTTTGTCTCGCATGATTTTCAGCGTAAACAAGGCGAATGCAGAATTCAATTACGATGTGCACAATGCGCGATGCACATGGATCATAATTAAACGAGCTTATCCGGCGTCTCCGATCTTCGGATTAATTAAATCTTTCAAATTGCCCGTGATTATCAGAAATGTCTCATCGCAATCGTTAATTACAAAGTGTAAATAAAAGTTAATTAACCCTGGTGCGGTGTACGACGTCCAAAGCCCGAAATCCGATCGAAGAAAAGCTCGGCTTGCAGAATCGGAGCTCTTAATCAGGTAATCGGGCATTTTGTCAGCGTTCCGCGAATTCGATCTGCGACGTTTAATCGCTTAATCGAATTGGACGGCGTGAGATCTGGTTGGCGGTATATCTGGAAATCCAATTTTGCGGTCTGCGTTTTGCGGATTTGATTAAAGTACCCGTTGGACACACGTTGGAAGGGAGGGGAAGGTTCGCGAGGTGTGTCTCGCTGTCAATATGTTTGCGTAAAATTGCACATATATGATTACGATATATATATATATATATATATATATATTTATAGCGCCTTCGCAGACGAATTCTTAATGGTTGCCTGTGATACTTCGGCGTCGGCTTACGGTGGCTTTACGGACGAGTTCGATAAAAGGGGGAAAAAAAGTACGCGATGTAATTTATCATCCAATTACAAAGAATTCACGGCAGCTAGGTGGAAGTAATACACTTGACGCCAACGGCGGATTATCGCGCTTCTAAAAATATCGTTCCGCAGCGAGGTAATATCACAAAAGCAGTAACCGGAATACATAATACCCGCGCTGCATCGTTACGATATATACCGGTGTATATTTTTAATACGTTCAACGTGCCTATACTCGCGTACCGGTCGAACGATCGATAATTGAAGAGCTCATGCAGATAGGGTTTTTGCATAGGATAAACGTTTTCGGAGATAAATTCAGTTTTATGATTTTAGGACACGCCAATTTTACAGTCTTTTATAACTCAAAATGACTCTCCTACTTAAATTAAAAAAAACACACGTACAAAATGAAAAAAACCAAGCACTATTCTTTTAAAAATTAAATTGGTCTACTTCCTTTTTTATGCGAGCGACCCTCACAGCGCTGGCATTGACGAATTATAATTTTCTTCATACTTGCAAAAGTTTGTGAAACGAAAGTTTGTAAGTAGAAGAAGAGTGCCTGTACTAGAATTTGCATACTTTTTAAATGTATAATCCCGTTTTTAGGACGACAGATCGTGGAAGCCATCTTTCAATACGAAAACTTCTGACGTGTCTACACAGAGAAAACGGTTTTATTATAGAAATGTCTGAAAATTTAACTAGATTCATATCTGAAAAGAATTTCATTAAATTGTTAAAATAAATATATACAACGCTTAAGGATGTATAGTCTCTATAAAAAGTAACTGCAATATTCATACTTCCCATACAAAAATGAATATTAGGTATATACACATGAATCAAATCAATAAGATCAATATTATAGTTCAAATAAAAATTTTCTCATTTTATTTTAATTATTTTTTATAAAAACATATTTACTTCTTATTAATAATTTTGATATGGGTTTTTTATCTAAATTTTTTTATTTAGGTTTTTTATTCAAATTTTAAAAATTTGCCACTCTATACTTTCTATATTACTTTCAAATATGATATTATTCCCTTACTTTAATAGTGACATAATTAAAAGAAATTAAGTTTTTTAGAAAAAAGGAAAAATATAATTATTCAATTTAACAAAAAATTATTCACTATCAAGTGATATCGGCGAAAAGAATATATTCTTAGAAACATAACCAATCATTATTCTTATACAACCTTTAAAAAAATTATTCTTTTTGAGTTGTGATGATTTTGATATCCTACAAAATTGTAACAAATCTGGAATAATTTATCAAACGTGACATAATTCAAAATATCAAAGCAATTTATATTTGTCTTGATCAGTTAAAATAATTAAATTTAAAATAAAATAATTTTTTTAAATTTTAATCACCAAAATTGTTTTTAAATGTTCTCTGTCAAAACTCTTTTTTATCTACAAAAACGACACAAAATTTGTCACTCTTGTAGAAAATATTACAATCTCTTTAAAAACCTTAAGAATGACATAAGTGCTATTTGACAAATAGACTGTGAAATTAAATTAGTTTACTTTGGATGATTGATAGAGTAATTTTTACGTAACTCATTTACGATAATAATTTGAAAATCACATTTTTTTAATTGTGTCACTTTTTTAATTAAAAGAATGATATAGAAAAATCTATAGTTTGTTCATAATGGTTTCATTTTGTTAAAAATGTATATGATACGTCCTTGAATGTCAATGATAATGCTGTACAAAATTTAGACAGTCTAACAAACATTGAATCTTACATAATTTGATGGTCCAATAAAATTATTTTTAGATGTATATCTAACTAAATATTTAGATACTCTAGCAAAATCGTTCTTTCCGTGTATTTAAGATCGTTTTAATTTTGCCTCCTTTAGCTCTCAACGAATTCCTTTCTCCAACTTTTTAACGGCGTAAAGCTTAACGATGCATTTCTTCAGACTACATTTTCGAAATAAATTGCATGCGTCACAAGCGAATGTCATTTGTCGCGGCTTTAATTTTTCCCGTTGACGTGGCCGACGATTACGTTGTATTACGGCTTCTCTAATAGACGAATGGACGAAAAAAGAGTGACGCAAATAAAACGCGTGCTGTCGATGGTCACCTGATTTAGTGCGGCCTGCGATTTATACTTTTGCACCCGCCCGCACGTAACGCTGATACATTTGATCCTGCGAGTGTATCGGTTCGGGGTGTCCCTGCACGTACGTACGCACATATATCTTGCACAAAGTGCATGCGAATGTATGTACGTGCTCGCGCTCACGTATATACCAAGACTAGCATTTCGACATTATCGGAGGAGCTACGGCGGGCTCCATGGTTTCAGAACATTCTTCCATTCCTCCTGGAATTTCTCATCTTCCACGTTCTACCGGAGCCCTTTCTTCCATCTGGCAGATTGCTTCCCCAAAGTGCTATATTTTGTACTTTCTCGCTTGCGAGCTCTCTTCGCGTGAAACCCCCTTTTGCCAGACGGGAGAGATAGCGCACCACCGTGATGTGTAACGTGCATGAAATTTGCATATTTTTAAAAAGACGAGCACGCGGTTTGCTTTACGGTGACGTACGATCGTTTGTCTTTCTATCAACGCTCGCATAAATGTATTGCGAGTACAAGCGGAGACAATGCTTCGAGAAATATGAATCGAGAACGGATTGCGCGTATATAAGAGGTAAGGTACGTGATTTTCTCTACATCTACCACGTGTCGAAGGAAAAATGCGGTGGAGGACGTAAATGCAACTCTGAAAATTAAACGTGACTTTTTTCGAGACAGATACACCGGCGAATACTGTGCGAAATTGTTTTCCTCAGAAACGTCACTCGCCGAGGTGGATTCAACACTCGAAAATATCACGCGAAAATGCGAAACAGTGTATGCCGGAAACACAACGAGCGTTTACATTCTCCGTGATACCTTGGCCTTTTTAATCAGCGGTGAAAAAAATTCCCGTGACACGTGGGGAGGGAATGCGGGAACGGGCTGTCGGTTTCGTACAATCAGCTGTCCGTATGTATGAACGGACATATGCGTATTTTATGTTCATTTGCATATGGATGTGCACGGCGACATGCAGTCGTCGACGTTCGGGGTTATCGAACGGAGTACGTCGGTCGGTAGCGCCGGACCGACATTTTTCCATTCCAGTTGGAATTTACCATCCGGCGCATCTTCCTCGTGTTCCATCATCTTCCCATCGGATTTACGTTACGCTTAGACAGCGCGCATTGTGACAGCGGGACGGCGAAATCCAGCAGCAAATATTTGCTCACCAAATATAGGAAATTTTCTAAGAATTCGTCTGACGCGTACACATCCTCGCAAAATAAGACACATTAAAAATAACTAGGAGAGAGAAAGAGAGAGAGAGAGAGATGCTTCCTTTAAGCGAACGTTAAGAAAGAAATAATAGCAACTGAGACGGTGAAAAACTATGGCAGAAATTTTACATTATTTAAAAATGAAAAAGAATTCGATATATTCTGTTAGAATGCAGGAATATGCACGGAATTTCCTATACAAGGTAATCCCCAATCTATTATATATTAAGCAAAATTTGCTTTAATCTCTTCCGTTTCAAATTTCTTCGAATAAAGCTCTATCAAAGGTTTCATTGAATAAATATCATAAAACATTTAATATAATTCTCATCAATATCGCTTAATTTCGCGTTTGATTGAAATATTCATTTCGATTGCCTCGAGTAACTCTATTTATATAATACTTGCGGAGAAACAAAAGCATAATGACTATTTCCCGTAATATTAAACTTGATAAAATCGTCTCTGTAATATCCGTCTCGCGAATATCTATCTTTTCTTACAAATACGTACGACAAATAAAAATCAATCGATAAAGCGACGCTATTTATCGGGACTTCGTTCATTTTTTCTTATTTTTTTAATGTTGCAGATTCATCGTGTTGTAATTACCGTTATCATCGACTTTTCCTTTTTTTCCAATTTTCGTATGTTTAAAGAAAAATCTATCAAAATCTTGCGTTTATGATATTCATGTCAAAACATTATGATTATAATGGTTGCAAAAATAAATGTAATAATAAAAATATCTTTAGGGGGGAAAAGCAATTTTTTTTTTATTAAATTATATGAAGGCATCACAAAATTAGCGCAAGAATGATGGATTTTCTACAATTTCTATTTAAACTTTAAATCTTAAGCCGTAAGTAATTGATCAATCACATACGAAAAGAATATTGATTATGATTGGTCACTTTCTTATGGCTTAAATCTTAAAGCTTAGATAATGAGCTTATTATAGAAAGTCTATGAGATAAATACGATATAAACATTTACAAAAATCTCTAAAATAAGAATATGTCTAAGACACATCCGAATCCTTTAAAATACTTGACCAATTTTTAATTTTTTTCTAATTATCTCTTTTTGATTTTTAAATTTCAAAGGATCAATTATCTTTTTAGTTTTTAAAAAAGAGAAACTAGTATATATATTATTCTTATTTAATTCAAATCTTTTGAAAAACAATTACAAAATGAAAACATGACAAGTCCAGTGGCTGTAACAATTTGTTATTGCGAAGCGGCAGTAACGAATATGGAACAAAGTGGCGTACAGAATTTATCGTATAAATGTGATTTTCGAAACGCGCCAAATAGTACACTGTATTTTTATCAATACGAACGCATTCGATCATCATCAAATTTTTTTATGGCATCAATAAATTTGTTCCGTGCTGCGTGAAAGATTCGATCCTCTATGTGGAAATTTCGCTTTTAAAAATAGAAGAGAACCGATACGAGAAAAACGTTTTTCCCTCGGATCGATCTTATTACATTCTCGTTTTTTCCCCAATCCTTTAGGGGAACATCGCACCTGGAAAACTCAACTGTTCATCGGCGGATCGTCCTGAAATGGATTCGACGAGGTCGAAAGATGCTTCTTACATTGGAAAAGCGATTGCTCGTTTCTCGGATCGCACTTCTTCCACACGATCTAAAGTGCATTCTAAATTTTTGAGAGAAAGAACACGTAGCGATGATGTGGAGGGATGCGAGAACGAAGCGCGGGATGGAAAATGACGATTCTGGCTTGCCTCCGAATGTCGAGGGATCTCGAATATGTCGAGAACTCGAAGCGGGAAATAGGTAACACGATTCGACAATGAAAATTTAATGCTGTAGCGATTCGCTCGGTTCCAGACGCTCCGGGACGTAGCGAACACGTGCTGCAGACGACACATTTCCAAGGGGGACATTTTAAGTTATATTTTTATTTTCGTGAGAATATCCATCAGCATGCGAAACATGCGAGACATGGAGATTACAGAAAAAGGTCGGCGCAGAGTGCGGACGCGGATAATGGCCGGGAAAAAAATTTCATAGAATGAACCTAAAAATCTGTTTGTACGAATGAGAGAAAGAATTACTGTGGATTTTGTCTCTATAACTTTAAACATTAGCCGGGGTCTGTTGGAGAATAGATTGATATAGCGAGTAATTATGCAAGACTGATCCAGTGCCGAGCAACACATTAATCTCCGGGCGAAACTCGGATTATCAAGTAATATGCCTGGCATTAAAGGGTTAAGTGGAATATTCGTTATAATTTGGGATGGATAAATTTCCCGTCGGATGAAAAATAGGGAGCATTTTAAATTGATGGCTCTCAAAAGTTCTTCTGCGGAATGTCGTTCACATATTTTTCTGAGTGGCGAAGTGCCGACCAAGCGAACTCAATCGAAAGTATTCTAAGCTTGAAAGTATCGAGCGAAACTGAGGTCAAATAGCGCTGGCATTTCGCCAAATGTATCGCCGGTTGAATTTTCATTCTCGCAGGCCGTGATGGATTTAATGTTTCGCTAATAACTTATACATTCTTGAATTTATCGCTGCATTCATGAGCCCGTAAACGGACAGATGAAAATACGAACCTTCCGCTGTGGTAACGAGGACCATACTGTCCGCATGCTTGTTGACCAATCGGCGAATGAGATCTATCTGTTCCAGGGCCAGCTGGACCGAGTCGAGATGCTGCGACGAGCAGGGCACATACGCGGACCAGAACTGCAACAATAAAACGAAAATATATGTAAGTTAAATCGCACCTCAATTTATTACTTAATCTTTAAGTGGGTAGGTGGAGCCACAGTACTTCAGATATAGATTTTTTTAAAACTTTGTTCTGGGAAAGGAAAATAAAAAGCATTGCCTAGATACTAATGTAAGTTTAATTACACATAACATATTGTATTATAAAAAAATGTAATTACACTGAGGGAAGTATTAAATTTTAATAAACATTTTTTGAATAGTACTCAGTATCTCCCAAATATAAGTATATACTTATTTTTGATGTAAGAATGATTAATTTGACTTAACTATCATTTTTTTTACCAAAAGTATTTTCCTTACTGCATAAAACCAACATTTGTGGAAGTGTTCTGAGCAGCTCATCTATCAACTGTGGCATCTTAAATTATCTACTTAAAAATTAAGGGTTAAAGCGCACAAAATTTATAAGCATAGTATAGCTAGCATAAGACCGTTTGGACCAATGAGCATGTTATGTAAATGAATATGGAAACTTTATGTTGAATGTTCATTAGTTCAAACGATCTTATATTATGCTATGGTATGTTTATACATTTTGTATGCTGTAGTTCTAAAGCTTTTGTTCACTCACCGTTATTATCTAAGATTATGACGTTAGAAGAGAGAACACATAATAAAAAGTCTTGCAAATTGTATTTGAGTAGAAATATTTTTTAATGAAATAATATTCGTAATTAATAAAATAGATTTATAAAATATACAAAAAACTGTGTTTCTGTTTCAGGAAGAAATTAAATCATATTCATTTCTATATGGTTTTAACAATTTTTCTATGGTTTGACAATTTGTCGTAACAATGAACATAGCTTATTTTCGTTTTTGGTTATCCATAATTCATTACATGGTCATTTATTGATTAACAAAATAAAAAGGAGTTTTTGATATATTTTACAAGTCAGTTTTATCGATTGTAACCCTAGTAGCAATTTATTGGCAATATTGGTTAAATATACGGCATGTGTTGGAGACATATTGAACTAATATTAAGTCAATATTGTACCAATAAATTGTATTACTAGGGAAATGTTGTTTTATCGAAACATATTTCCATTTCCATATTAATATATTTTGCAAGAATTTTTATTGTGTATTTTCTCGTTTCTAACGTCAAAATCTGAGATAGTAGCGATAAGTAAGCAGGAGTCTTAATTTACATAAACATGTTGAACGCGATGCTTCTGATTTTTTAATATTTAATACGCACACACATACACAAAGATCATATAATATATTGATATTTTACTGTAATTCATGTACAATGAGTAAACGTAAACGCAAAACTAATTATTATTTAATTATTTCAAAAATATGTAAATTTTATATCGCGTTGAACTTTATGGAATTTATTATGTTAACGGATATATTATAACGTTATTGTAATATAAAGTAGGCTGTTCTTATGCCAAAGCTAAAATCGATAAAAATAGCGCGATTTATTGCAACGGATTATCTTTATTCAATATTGGCTCTCGGGCTTACTCGCGTTTAAAACACGATAGTATTAATCGCATTCGTATTCTAATTACAACATATTTCTGACACATATAATGCTCCGCTTTAATCCAGCATCTGATAACGCTAGGAATAATTAAATGCGTATTACGATAGTCTACAAACGCGGGAGTAATTTGCATTTTAAATGGTTTGATATCGGCGATGATAATAAATAACGAAAACTTTAAGGGTCGCTTTGCAATGCATTCAAAGCAAGAATAAACGGCTTGGTTCAGAATAATTTAAATGTTCTGAACGTGTCTCCTAAGGTTACGCTCCATGCACGACATGTACTTGGCGCTGCAAAAAATAGCAAATGCGACTTCAAAAAGCACGCGATGCGAAGATCGTGATTTCTGTTTCTCTCCCCGTCACGCGAGATCGTCATGTACAGCGATATAATTAGTTTCTCCTACTTACTTTTCTTCGTTACGACATCCGTTTGACATTACTGGGATTTATTCGCATTTTTTAGACGTTTATCATTCACAATCAAATAAGCCAGTGCTTAGATTTCTTTCACTATTAAATTCATAATATCAAATTATACCCAATTTGCATAGCTATAACCGCGGAGGCTTATACAGGCATTTTATTTATATTTGATTTATTCTTGGAGCCACAAAATATCTTTATAATTTTATTTTTATTAATCTAAAGAGTTTATTTTTCTTAATTTATTCCTTTTAACGTACACTGTCAAATTCACAATATCAAATTTGACCATATTTGAATTATTTTTTATTCATTTGTATAGATCGTCACTGCTCCTCTATTCAATATATGGTTAATTTAACTGAAACAATGGAGTTATATAAATTTAATTTTATTATTTACTAAATGCATACATTAATGAACGTTGTTTGAAATTAATCACAGAAATGAATTGATTTATATTTTGTCACACATAGAAGTTAAAAATAACAAAATGTTACTTAACCACGGGATCGAGTTGCCATTGATCTCCTTTGATATTTAACGTTGTACAGCCTGTACACATATTTCTCTTGAGGAAAATGAGAAAACGCGATTAAGCGAAGTTAATAAATTCTTATCAAGAGGCTGCTGGCTGATGTCCCGTCGGACGACACCGTCGGAACTTGGAAATGAGAAACATTAAGTTCTTACACTCGGTCGGAATCGAGGCCATGGTGTCTTACTTCGGTGCGAATTTTCCGCATTATGCACAAGTGCGCGCATCGCGCGTCGGCGGGAAGTTTTATTTAACAACGCGGACGAAATTTATGCCCGAAGCGTGAGGTTACCGTCGCGGTGTCATAAATCAACGTACACGGAGGAGGCGCGAGAGCACTTCCGCTTTTTCTCGTCATGCCCTCCCCCACCCCACCCCCCTTCGATGTCTGCCGCTGACAGAAATTGCACTGTGAATTGCGACGCCGCTAATAGTGACGGGCTTTAATCGCGTGCGATACCAGCAGTGGTAATTACTACGTTCGAGACGTCTGTATTTCGGCGACTTTTTCCGCGAGACGGCTAATTGCGATGAGTAAATAATTCAACGGCTGCGGGAAGTTCAGTCTACGCTTGCGGTTTAATGGTGGTACGCCAAACGGAAACGGCGAGACGGCAGGTTCTAACTCTAACTTCTAATTACTTTTGTACATAGCTGAATATCTACTTGCGGCAAAACGATCGGAAAAAGAAAAGACGGACTTGTCATTATCGAACGAGTGAATGATTATATATAAGCATTAACATTCGGGAATATTATAGTCACCTGGGATATGTCTTTATACTTTCACCTAGCAACGAAAATCTGTGAATTATAACATACATATTGTTTTAACATATTTCTTTTTTTAATGACTATTTTTAACGAATCTTTTTTTAAATAAGCGATTCCACCGAAAACTCATAATAAAAAAAACTACTACTCCCAGATAAATGGACAAAATATTAACGGTCTTTCATAATTTTCTTACCGTTTTATATATGACATACGTACAAAGATACATTGCTCGCATTGAGTTAGACACTGTCCTGAGTTCGCAGTTATCAGCAATCTCAATTTTAAACGAATCTCAACTTCAAACGGTGGAAGAAACGTGATTTTACGAGATTACGAGAACAGAGCTACGTAATCTTGCATCAGAGAAAACGCAAGGATATTAAGTAGAATATACTGACGTCTGTATTAGCGCACAATCACCCTTCATTCTCTCTTCCTTTAGATACCTATTGTAAGGAAGCAGTTACCATGGTATTTTAGGTCAGACATTCGCAGAACATGTCTCAGTGCACGTGCGCGCGTGTGCACGTGTATACGCGAGATTTCTTTTTCCCTTCCGCACCACTAGTTCAGCCCCGCACGAGAACGAGCAGTAGTCACGGTGAGTTTTAGGTCAGACGTTCGTAAAAATACTCTCCTCTTCGTGTATAGAACGTGTCGCGTCTGCGATTCCACTTAAAGGCGAACTGTGGCTGTAAGAGCTGCTCTCTTATATATACGTTTTAGCAATTTTGTGGCTGTACGATACGAGCTGGCTATTAAGACGGCCGTTTTAACTTATCCTGTGAAGAGCACTACGCGAACAGCCGAACATGAAAATCAATTAAAAAAATTGCTTTCTTTTTCATCGTGCTACTTTAATTCTTACATCTGGCGTTGTATAAATTTTAAACGTATCTCGTGTTATGGTATCGCTTATACTCCATTTCTTAAAATATAACATAATTACACATCATTCTTAATCCAATTTTGAAGCAATTTTCAAGTCATTCTAGAAAACTTCCATTTACATTTAAAACTATAAATACTAGAACATCTCTTAAAAGCTTTTGAAAGGACTTTATAGTTATATATTATATTATCAAATATTTTAAAATTTAAATATTTTTTGGAATCTGAAAGTTTGGAGTATATCACAAATTTTGATGAACCTGCAAAAATTATATCAAATTTTGAGCAAAACTATTTACTATCATTTATAAATATGATCAATTAATACTTTAGTATATCACAAATTTTGATGAACCTGCAAAAATTATATCAAATTTTGAGCAAAACTATTTACTATCATTTATAAATATTATCAATTAATACTTTAATTTAATATCTGACATATGTCGCGTATTCCTATTACTTAAAAAAAACATAAATCACAAAATAATATAACTTTTAACACATTATTGTGCTAATATGCCAAAATTTTTAGAAATTTCAACATTTTTAAAGCTTAAAAATTTTTTTAAGTAACAAAAAAAGTTTTCAAAATTTTTAAGAATCTCTAATTTCAAATAATAGAAATAAAAACACTTTTGTTATATCTTCAAAATCATTAAGTTAATGTGCTTGTTAACCCATATTACAAAATACAATCATTAATAAATAATATTATAATGTTAACTGTATTAAAATATTTTAATAAATAATTGCGACGAAACGAAATTAATCGATCATTCAAAGGTATTCGAAATAGGTGACAAAATGCTTTTAT